TTGCTTTTAGGCATTTTGGCCTAAACCCGCACCCGCACCCACCGCCCCCGGACACGGGGGGGGGGGACGGCCCGCTCTGCGCACCGCTCCTGCGGGTTTGGGTCAGGACGAGGGGATTTCGGCACCTGAGACCCTGCTCCCCTTCTAGATGTTATTGCAGAGACCCCTCCACGCACGGGTAGGCACATAAACAAACCCGCCGGCTCGCTGTTAATGCAACCGCCAGTCGGATGCTCTCTTTGCTCTCGGGACCTTTGCCATCTGCAAGCGTTTCAGGTAAAAACCGGGGCGAGGGCAGGGTAAAGCTTTCGGGGTTGGGAGGAGGCGTCTGGCTCGGCAGGGAGGTCTGCGCCGGGGCTGGGAGCCGCGCATCGGCCAGGGCGTCCCGTCAACGACATCCCCTGCAGACCCCCGCGAGGAATAGTCGGAATCGCCCCAAAAAGCGAACGAACGAAAGGCACCGAGCGGGCCGAGCAGGGGAAAGGCTCGGAGAGCAGAAGCATCCCGGAGCGAGCAGGCGAGGAGAGGCAGGTCGGTGCTGGCGGGCAGGGGCAGAGGTGATGCCACGCAGATGCCGGCCCCGAATGAGCCTGGAGAAGCGGTGCTCTTCTCGGGGAGAGCCGGCACCTCTGCAAGAGCTTTAAAAAAATATATAAAATGAAATAGGCGTGTTGTCGCTGAAGGGAAACCACTGCCTTAGCCATGGGGCTTTCACCAAGACAGCCAAGTTCCCTCTTGGGCAGAGCAGAGAGCCTCGAAGTCTGCTTGACATCTTGAAGCTTAAATAACCGTAAGGCATTGTTACTCCCTGGCAGCAAAGTGCCTCGTTACGCCTGATTGAGCTAATTGCTTTGAAATAGGATATATTATCTATAATTATAGAGATCTTGGAGGAGACGGCCAGCCTTTTCTTTCATCTTTTCCAAGTGCATCATAATGTCGCGATCAAATTAATTTGGGCCACTTGAAATAGTGCCTTCCTTTCAGCCCTGCTCCTCCGACCCTCAAAGAGCCGGGGACGCCTCGGCGGCTGAAGTTTGGCCGTCCAAATCACCACTCCTGGTAACCTCCCGAGGACCAGCCCAGGTGCCTGAAGCCTTAAAAGTAGTTTAGGTTATGTTTGATCTGGGCGGAAAGGGAAGGGGGAAAAGTTGCTTTTTCAAGCAGAGGGGGGGGGGAAGAACAAAGAAAAGGACGGAGGTCTTTTCGCATTATCCGACGCTCAGCGGAGAAGGAGCAGCGACGGGAGCAGGGAGGGTTGAGACTTGAAGGGCTTTGAGGGCTTGTAAAGCCCGCGGGACATTTTTAGCACTTGCGATAGATCTGGCTCTTTGCCCCCGGGGGCTGAGCCGCTCAGAGCTGGAGCAAAGCTGGCTGAAGGGCGCGCAGGGAGCGCGCAGGGAGCGCAGAGGGAGCGCGGAGAGAGCGCGCCGGCGGTGCCCGGAGCGGCGGAGCTGCTGCGGAGCCGCCAAGTCCCCAAAGCCTCCTCGTGTCCTGCGGGGCTGTCTGGTCTCCTAAGAACTGCTGTCTCGGGGGAAATAAAATAGAAACAAGGGAAACAACAACACCCCTCTCTTTTCTGAGTTCTGCCTTTAAGTCAAAGATAACGTTTACAAAAGGCAGACAATGCCCTGAATTGGCTTAGCGCTGCCTCCTGTCCTCCCTCCCCATCCCCCACGCACTCCTCCCAGCCCTTGTTGTTGTATTCCCACCGAAATAAAACGCTATGGGTAATGGCTTTGCCTCGCACATTCATTATATTGAAACGGGACTGTTTAGGATGCTAATTGCCCAATATTGTTATCTAGCACAAGTGCCTTCAGGGAAGCGCCACGGTTCCCAATAAAAACACTGGACTGGAACAAGCACCATAAAGTCACCTATTCCTCCCCGCCCTTTCACTTCGGTATTCCTTACAGCCCAGGGAGGAAAATAAGAGAGAGGCACCGAAAAGCAAGTCAGAGTGTCAGCACAAGGGAACAAATAATAAAAAAAAAGTTCCAAAAACCCAATGGTGTTTTGGTCACCCAGAGCGCAGCGAGCAAGGCAAGAAGAGTTTGGGTACTAAAATTTCCCGCTAAACAAAGAAATACGTCTCGGGGCAGATTTCGTTTTGTAAATTTGATTTCTCCATTCCTAACTTAGAACCTGTAGATTTCATTAAGAAAGAAAGAAAGAAAGGCGCAAGAAACGAAAGAAACTTTACTGGCTTCACGTTTTCAGCCCAAGAGCTTGCCAGCATGTGAATTAGAATCAAGTCCTTGCTATGGTACAGTGATTAAATTACCACCGAGTATGACAGAAACGTAAACACAAAGCGTTCATTGCTGGGAGATAAATAAAGAGCTAATTATCTCATTCTGTCAACTCTCAATAAGAGCGGGATCTCGCTCTCGGTATGGGACGCACACTCATCTCCTGAAACCTCAGCAACATCCCAATGTTCAAACCATTCTGCGAGCGGAAAGTGGGGAAAAAAAACCCCAGCAGCTCTATTTTTCCTTTCATATTTCCATCAAAACAATGAGAGCGAAAGCAGCCTGGGGGCTGCCTGGAGGTCTAATAAACACATCACTTTTTCTTTTGCGCGGTTGCGTTTGGGCTCAGGCAAAAAAAAAAAAAAAAAAAAAAAAAAAAAAAAAAAAAAAAAAAAAAAAAAAAAAAAAAAGATCCTACCTGTAGGATCGGGTGGAGGGGACACCGTGAAACACGATGCATCGATATTTGTGCGTGTTTTCTTAGTCGGGGGTGGGGTGAGGGTGCATCTCGCGTCAAGAACCGGGCTTTGGGAAAATGTCGTGTGATTGGTAGAGCAAACTAATTTTGTCAGGCTGAATGTGCCGATGTCCCAGGGCTAAGGCGCCTTGCTCCCTTGATGCGGGTTAACGTCCTCAATAGTCCCCCTCCAGCTGAAGCCTTTGATCAGACCGCTGCTGGCGCCTAAAAACAACATCACTTGTCTGCCTATTAGAGGCACTGACTAATCGTGACAGATTGTTTATTCTCGCAATTAGCAATGCAGCCGCTTCTCCGAGCACCCCCAC